CTCTGTAAAGTCTTCTTCATTCTGCAACTTTGGAGTATAGCTTCATAGTTTAGAAGTTTTAATTTTAATTGTGCTTATTCCACCTTGACATCTAAACGGTAACTATCCATGAGGTCAAGAGTAGCTTGTAGCTTTAAGTGGAGCTATCTGTTCCTTGACTTCTGCATTTTTGTTGCAATTGTGATTTGAGCTCCTTCAAGTTCGCCGTCTATGTTCGTTCTCAACACCTTCAACTATAGCTTGAAACTCTTCATCGGTCCATTGAGATTTGTGTGGGACGAAATTTAACTTGCTTCATTCAAAAAAAGAAAAAAATGTTTTTACTCAAAGCGTGCATGTATATGGCTATAAGAAACTTACCAGAAGGCTTCTATCTTCATATGCGTAAAAACATAAAAAAAGTGAAGTTAAAATGAATGTTTACTAATGGCTGAAGAACTGCTGAATGTCGCCTTCACAGTTATGTAGAACGGCTGACCCGAGAATGTAAGGAGAGACTGAATTCCAATTTCATATGGGGTAGGGGTTCTCCTTGTTGGTATTTTTATCCAAGGACGTTTGTTTAGGAACTTAACAAGAGCTTCTCTTTTGGCGTCCTTTATGTCATTGTAGGCTGTTCCCGACTGGTATTTTGAATTGGAATTCCAGTCGAAGTCTCGAGCTGAAGTGTAGACCTTCCAGAAATAGAGATGAACTTGACCTTGGGCTTCATTACCTTGCGCAAGTAGTCTTTTAAGCAGTCGTTAATTTCAATTAGGTAAATTGCCTCGTCAAGTCTTTCTTGCATTCCAAGTTCCTTCCATCCGACAGGAAAATATTTTCCCGACAACTGGAAAAAATTTCCTGTTGTTCGTCCGTAAACCATCAAATTTTCGAAAATTGAGAACTTTTTGGTCGAACTTCAGAAAAAGTTTTTCCTTCCGACAGGACACAAACAGATGACTGACGTCCCACCAACCGAGTCCATTCCCAAACCAGAAAAACCTAAAGCACCAGCCCTGCACCTCAGTTCCAGCAAGTACCTCATTCCAGCAAGTACCTCCGTATTACTACCAATTTCCACCTCAAGGTTACTACCCACCACAAGGCTCCCGAATACCCTCCTCAACCTATGCCTTACTCCCCAACCCTTGGATGTTCCAGCAAGCTCACCCCAGCAATTCCAATCTCATCCCAATCGAAGAGAGACCAGACATCGAAAAGGTCTGAACCGCCTACGCAAAGAGTATGCTACAGCTCCAATGGAAGATGACAGGCTTTCAGTCTCTTCCCTCAATCGACGATTCGACTCGTACCACAGATTCGGTCAAAGACAGAGACGACTACCTCAAGCAGTCTGAGAGACTCTTCATCTTACAGCCATTTACAGTTGGAGCTCTCAAGAACATGCGCAATTACGAAGGTCAGACACCAGCTGGAGACCGCAAAACAGACATACTCGCAAAGCCGTCCAGCTCGTCAAACAAAGACTGAGATAGTCGACTTCATTCTTGCAGCTTGCCCATACAAGTAAAAAAATAAACAATTACGAGTTAAACTTTTTATTCTTTCTTTCTGAGTTGTTTAGAAGCTGTTCTCTTGTAGGAACCTTTCGTACTCTTCCACGGTCATGTAATTGCGAATTTGGTACGCAATTCCAGGTTCGTGTTTTTGAACCTTACGTATGTAACGCTTCCATCCTCCTCAGGGAAGTAAGCTGCTAACATCTGACAAGTTTTCTCGGTGATCGGAGCTCATAAAAAATGTCACTTTTTAAACGTTTAAGTTTTTAGTCTTATTTTACCCTTTGTTTGTCAAGGAGTATTGGAGCGCAATTTCTCCAAATTCTTGTGTCGGGATTCTTCAGCTTTTTCCAAGGTGTACCTGGAGAACTCAAGAAGTTGTAAGAACTACTGCCATGCTGCTCTTCTGAGTTCGTCGGTATTTTGGAAGTGTTGCACCTTCGAGTCTTCTGAATGAAAAAATGACCAAATTTCATTATATAACTGTTATTTTTGACGAAGTGAACTTTTACTCTTCGTAAAAAAATCCCTGAAATCGTGAAAAATTGCGAGTAGGTAAAAAACCCCAGTCGCCAAAACTCATGAAAATCGTGAAAAATGCGGTACGTAAAAAACCGTAGTCGCCTAAAACACATGAAAATCGATGAAAAATGCTACCCCGACTTTTTCCGGTCTTGCCTAAAACTCATGAAAATCGTAAAAAAAACTCTATGAAATCATATCTTTTATACAAGATAGAAAAAATAAAATTAACGCTAGTTTTTTAAAATATTTTTTTTATTTTGTATGTAAGAACAGAAATGACAAACACTGAGTTTGAAACAGTCTAAAAATAGACAATGCACCAAAGTGGTTAGAATTGGTGATTTAAACGTAAGATACTCAAAGAAATACAACAAATATTCTTTGTCAGACATTATTCTACCATTTGGAAAAGAAAACATGGCATTGGTTGGATTGCTTCAACTCAGAAAATTTGACAAGAAAATCCTGAGCTTATGATATCGGTAAAGATTCTGTGGAACTACAGCATATTCATTGACAAAAGTCTTTATACCAAGTAGTTTTGTATTGGTAGACCAGTTGTTGGATATAATTTCATAACATATGGTTCATTCGATACGGAACGTTGCAGTGAAAGGCTTACTTTACATCTTCAGAAACGAAGGACTTCAATACAAAGAGATATAAGATAGGAACATATAATATAACTCAAAGATATGACAGTATAGTCAATAGAGTTAAAGGTTGTGTTTGTGAATGATATGAGAGCTGCTGAAACAGAACTACTTGAAAAGTTTGAGGAAAATGTATGGTGCTTCCCATAAAGGTAAGAAACGTTTGAAGTAGATGAGATAGATAAAGCTAAAATATTTGACAAGTTGCTGAAAAATACATGTAAAGCGTTTATTTTGGTCTTTTGTGAAATCACGATGGCTCAGGTAGCTCTATAAGGTAAATTGTCTTGTCAAATCCTTCTGACATTCCGAGTCCTTCCTTCCAACAGGAAAAGTTTTTCTTCTCCAACAGGAAAAAAATTTCCTTCCAACAGGAAAAGTTTTTCCTTCCAACAGGAAAAAAATTTTCCTTCCAACAGGAAAAAATTTTCCTTCCGACAGGAAAAAAATTTTCCTTCTGACAGAAAAATTTTTTCCAGTTGTCCGTCGTAAACCATTTCAATTTTCGAAAATTGAGGACTTTTTGGCCGACTTCAGGAAAAATTTTTCTTTCGACAGGAAAAATTTTTCTTTTCCGACAGGAAAATATTCTTTGACGAATTTTCTTTCCGACAGGAAAATATTTTCTCTTCCACACAGGAAAAGTTTTCCTTCCGACAGGAAAAGTTCCTTCCGACAGGAAAAGTCCTTCCATGCGACAGGAAAATATCCTTCCATCACAGGACACGAAACGAATGTCGACGTACCACCAACCGAGTCCATTCCAAGCCAGAAGAACCGACAGCCCCAGCACCACAACAGACTAAGACTCAAACACTTACATTTTTCAAGCTTGACTTTTTACAATTTGAAACTTTGTTCGCGTAGATATGAATTCTGAAAGAAGTATGAGGCGTCTTGTATGACTTTTACTTCTCCATAGTTCATGTCTTGTCAAACTTACCTGCCATGGACTCTTTCATAAGTTCCATGAAATCGTCTTCGACAACCGGAAAAGTACAATGTCAGTAAATATTCTCTTTACATCCTTACTTAAACTTTGGCTGTCTGTACACAAATGACAACAGAGATGTTAAGTGTCCTGAGCTTCTTAAGAATCGACACATTCTTGTTCTCTGTTCTTTAACAAAGGATGAGAAGCAAAGTCATCTAAGATAAGAAGACATCTTGAGGGTAAGTCTTTCCAATCGTAAGATTGCAATTTCTTCGAATGTATTCTATCTCTTTCTGTTGTTTTCTGAAGTGTTTCTTCTCTTAATATTCTCTGCATTTCCTCATTTGGGTTTTAAACCTCGAATTGACATACTCATTTAAGCATTGTACTTAAAAATCTTCTTTTTTTCAGTCAAAAAAATTTCAATAGTGTGCAATTTTGTAATATCTATCCAAATACTTCTTCAACAGTATCGAACTCATTTCATAATGCAAACCTAATCTTTGACTTGGTGCAGTTTTCACTAACACAATATTTTTCTGTTCTCTTGACTGAACATAACTAACTCATTTGTTTCATCAAACAGCAACAACCAAAGTTCATGACCTAATACATAACATTCATACTTATATTTTTAGCTCTGAGTTCTCTTGTAAGCTGTTGCATTTAATATTTTCTAAAAAGTCAACTTCAACAGTTCATTTCGCACTGGCTTCAGTTCTACAGGCTTCTCCTTGAAAGTCAACAAGTCTGAATTGCATGTCTTTCAATTATGAGGACTAATGCGAACCCATTTACCTAAATGAGTTGCTATGACAGGACGTTTGGAATGAACATTGATTGACTGCATAACAGAAAGACTTATATTCTACTGAACCTTTACTATTAACTCTGAAATACCTGTGACATTAGCTATTTTAGACTCAATGTCAAACAATTGCCATACATACATATGGAACAGATTTTCATCTCAATCGTTTTGTCAACACTTTTCAAAGGAAATGTCATATGGTATGCACCCAAAAGAAGTTGTACTCTTGACTCATTCTTGGTATCTTAAACTCCTTCGCATACTGAATTCAAAACTCCTGCAATAAGTTTAACATTCATTAAGTTTTCTTCGTTATCCTTGTTTATTGTAGTATTTATGAGGCATTTAACATCCAGCTAATGTTTCCATCTTATATTCTACATTATTGTGAAATCTTATTTCATGCTTCTTTCCATCTATTTCAAGCTCCATGAAATCTGTTTCGTCAGTTATAACGAATGAAGCAATAGTATTAAAGTCAACCATTCTGATGCAAGCGCCTCATTCTGTAGACCTAAGTTTGTTTGTAGCTTTACTGTCCCGTATTCGTTTGGGTCTGTACTTTGCAAATAGAACAACATTTTATTCTCATTAAAATATGGAGTATAGCTGCATATGCGTATGAAGCTGACAGAGCTAAACGTTTATATTTTGGTCAATACTCTCTCACACTTACGACAATATATTGTTATCACTGATGGAAATACTGAGAAATACATAACATGGAAGGACTATGAAAAGTTTGACCTATTTTAACTCCATGTACTATGCATTGCATTGTAAATGGTGAAGTTGTCATGAAAGAACGAACAAACAGTATATAAGTCTGTATTGAAGCGTTAGAATATATGTTGAATTATAATCCCGAAAGATTTGACCCAAGCACTACACATGTGGCAATGCCTTTTATTAAGGACGGTGAAATCGTAAGAGTTCGGATTCAACGGTTTACACAGCTGTTCAAAACGTTTACAAAAATTTTTAGCGAATATCTTTAATTCAGAAACTACAAAAATAAATTACCATATATAACAGATGCTAAAGAAATTAAATCAAAAACGACAACATTATTTACGTCACTTAATGATTTATGACTTATATCATTAATATTCCTGCACCAACTACACATTTGATCCAAACTCGACGGTTTGCAGTGTACCTTTCATTAACGACAGTTCATTAATTACTTTAAGGGATTCGAACAGTAATGAATCATTAAAGGCGTCATTAATGAAAATCATTGATTTTAATTCATTCACGAATACATATAATTCATTCATTAATGTTTCATATGCTTCTCAAAGAAGGTGAGCCAAAAACTATCAATAAAGCGGTGTATGAAATAAAAGCATCAACGACGAATTGAATTCGTTAACTTTTGACGGTGATAGTTTCGTTATGACATAACATCGGGGAAAAACATTTTAACGAAAGAATACTTAAAATCTCATGTTAGTGAGTTCGTTGAAATTGAAAAAGAAGGTGGAATTAAGTTCGATCACTGAATTTCATTTTCAGCTTAGCGAATGCGGGGGTTAGTTTCGCTGAATGGACAACAATACGAGTGAAATAAATGCAATATGGACGTTTTTTGGGTAAGCAAGCGGGAATGGGTGAGCTTGTAAATGCTGCAAGAACATTAGGTGAAACGGAAATTTTGTAGATGGTTTTAAAAGACTTGTTTCAAATGTTTTAACAAACACAAAGAAAATTATTTAGATATACCGTACATAACGGACGATTTTCGAACAGATAGCAACAAACCCTCCGGTTATGGCTGCGTTGATGATGGTTAGAGATATAAAACACGTACGACGGGAACGAAGAACATGAACAACAGGATATGGTCGGGTTATTCGAGACATTAAAACGTGTATCCTGAAGTTTATTGATTTATTTAGAGGTGTTAATGATTCCAATTTCAAAATCATTCTATAACCCTCGATGAAGAGAATAAAATTAACAGATTTATATTTCGTATTATTGCAGAATTAATGAAGAGAATAAATGAAAAAGGAATTGGTGATATCATTTAATGTCAGCGATGTAATGATGAAAAGAAATTTTGATCATTATTTACAAAACCGAAACAGAATATAGTCTTTATGACGTAATTACCGAATTAATGAAAAAGATAATGATAATAAGAGTTCTGGCGGAAGAGTTGAATTAGAAGTGAATGATGTTAATGAGAAATTAGCCGAAAAAGCAAACAAAAATGAGCTTTTAGCTATGAGTGATAAAGTCAAGAACCACGTTCATTATATATAACTTCAGCGAACAGATATATAACGGACTACCATGATATTTTAAAACGAAGTGATGAAGCGAAGACAAAATGTTAATGAAAGAAGATATAAATACATTCGTGCTAAAGGTTATGATATATCGCTGTACTGTACAGTATGACACGGGTAAAGCACCAGAAGCATTTGGTTATAACGATGAATTTATGCCTCTACTTTCTCTTGTTAACGGTGTATTAGTTAGACCATAGATTTACTTTGAGTAGGTGATTTGTATGACTTTGTACTTCTCCCATAGTTCATGTCTGTCAAACTTACCTGCCATGGACTCTTTCATAAGTTCCATGAAATCGTCTTCGGACAATGGGAAAAAGTACAATGTCAGTAAGTATTCTCTTTACATCCTTACTTAAACTCTTGGCTGTCTGTACACAAATGACAACAGAATGTTAAAGTGTCTGAGCTTCTTAAGAATTCGACACATGTCTTGTTCTCTGTTCTTTAACAAAGGATGAGAAGCAAAGTCATCTAAGATAAGAAGACATCTTGAGGGTAAGTCTTCCAATCGTAAGATTGCAATTTCTTCGAAATGTATTCTATCTCTTTCTGTTTGTTTCTGAAGTGTTTCTTCTCTAATATTCTCTGCATTTCCTCATTTGGGTCTTTAAACTTCGAATTTGACATATCATTTATAGCATTGTACTTCAAAACTCTTCTTTGGTACTTCTTTATCCAATCTAACAACTCAGAGTCTTTTATACATACTAACTTAGACTTTTTTATAATATCTTTGAACGAATTGACGGTTTGGTCAAATTGACCAGAAGTACTACAAATGACTACTAACTCATAGAATGGGTTCTTCTCATCTAGTTCTTGTTGTTGTGCAGCCATTTTAAGATAAGTGAAAGTCTTACCCGACCCAGGTGGTGCAATTAGACCTGTTATACCATTCTGAGCAAATAAGAACTTGTCATGTATAGGCTTTATCTGAGCATTTTCTAACTTCCTCTTGTTCTTTTTAAAACATTCTCAAATTTCTTGTCAATGTCAGCAAACTTTTTTTCTAACATATTTTTAGAAAAATTAAAAATTTTTATCTTTTAGAAAATGTCTAGCGATTTCGCTATCTATATTCGAGACAAACTTTTCGACAGCAAAACATCTGTCGACCATAAAATCTTACATAGTGTAAACAAGAAAGGTGAATTTGTTCTAAAGTTCTGTTTCTGGGAATATGACAAGAACCATAAAACATTAAGCAGAGAAGTCTTAAAATTTGTCAATGACAGACTTGTTGACAGAGATGACGCCGATTGGAAGATGAAGTCCAACAAAAGTTCTTAGAATGCAAAGAAGACACATGCGCTGTTCTTGAAGATGAAATAGAAAACAGAATAGAAGAGCTATTAAAGGACAAAGACTTTTACAAAATATGGTTCTGAGAAGTTTGACATAACTCCACCAGAGAAGAAGAAGAGAGAAAAGAAAGAAAAGAAAGTAGAAGAAGAGAAGAAAGAACCAGAGCCAGAGAAAAAGAAATTTGACATGTAAAAATAAAATTTTATTTTTAGAACATTTCTGGGTCAATGTCAATGTTCTCTTCCTCTTTAGGAGCAAACACTGGCTTAGACTCTAAAATCTTTTTACCCAATTTACCTTGAACTTCAACTATCTTAGACTCATAATATTCATAGTCGTCTGCTTTCTTTGGTTCATAAGGTATAACAAGTTTGTATGCTTTGCCTTCTTTAAGGTTTGAGAACCTTCTGTCAAAACTTTCTTTGACTGCTAACAAACCTTCTATGTCTAAGTCTTCAAATTTCGCACCATTTTTAGTCACAATAGCAAACTTAACTGGTTCGATGTTCCAAACTTTGTCAAATGTAGACTTTTCAAAATGGTAGAAGTAAACATTCAAATATGTGAATGGGTCTAGTTCTTCTTTAAGTCCTGACATATACTTGTTACTGAGATGAATTTCGTCATCTTTTCTATCGGATAAAAAAATATTTTTTTTAAAATTTACTCAGAAAAATTTTTCTTTGTATATACGCCATTCTGAACATCTAAAAGACTTTTGACATTTGCCAAGAATGTTCGTTTAGACGCTGTCATATAACCATACTCTTGACAATATTGTTTATACGAATCGTACAATGACCTTTCATCTAAACACTCAAAGTCAGTTTCATCTATGAACAGTTCATATACACTCTTGTTTGCTTCTAACAATGTTTGTCTCTCTTCGGTATGTGGAATTTGTCTTGGATTGAACTTTGAAATATCTAATGTCATGAAATATGAGAACAAGTGGTTGTAAAAGTAGATGTCAAAGTTTCTGCTAAGTCGTCAAAATATTCTGTATCTTGCATATGAGAATCTGACGTTCTGACAACTACATATCTTCTGTCAGAACTTTCTAACTTCATCGGAACGCATTGTTTGAAACCATAATGAATTTGCAACATTTTCACAAACTCTTTGGTCTTTATATTTTCTTTCAACAACTCCAACTTTGTCTGTTATAAGACTCTTCAAAGCATCTGAGTTTCAAAACTTTTGTTGTATCTATACTTTGAAGTTCGTTACATACTATAAGTTTCATATTCTCTATTGAAGAGTTAAATTTACCGCAGATGTTTTCTAAGTTTGTCATATTCGGGTTCGAATAGCCCTCTAACAGTTTGCATAAGATATCTGTAAAGAAAGTGTTCTTACCAGTTCCTTGTTTTCCAATTATAATGAGAGCAGTTTCATTTTTAGCACTTGGATGTTGTAAGATGTTTGCAAACCAACATAAGATATACTCATAGACTCTTTCGTTTCCATTGCATATAATTTCTTTGACATGGTCTAACCAAGCTTCTATAACATTTTCTTTCCATTCTACTTGTTCGTATTTATATCCAGTGAAGATAGAATAGAAGTTTGGAGAGGTGTATAGAACTTTATACCACGAACTGAAAAATCTTCTAACTTTGACAATAAGATATCCCAAGCATCTAACATCTTCATACCAACTTGTACGACTTTTATTTTCTTAAGTTTCTGTCTACATTCTTGTTCTGAAACTATTGTGCTTTGGTTTGTTAAAGACAACATCCCATTCTTTCATGACATAACATTCTGGGGCAGAGTCGACATAAATGACTAAACGTTTCAAATTCTCGACTGCTTTGTTATAGTCTCTAAATGGACACATATTTCTGAATGCTTGGAAGTCATAAAAATCTGAAACGTCTATTCTTACATTTTATAAAATAAAAAAAAAATATTTTTTTATTCTTGAGCTATTTGTTGTTTGACTGTTGTTGCATTTGTTCCATTTGTTGCATTTGTTGTTCTTGAGCTATTTGTTGTTGAAGTTGTCTTGTAGTACAATACTTTCACCAGTTGCATCTTCCAATTCGAAACTTTCTGCCGTCATTGACAAATACATAGGACATAAAAGTTTTACAGGAACAAAGTTTGCGTCAACTAAGGTTAAGTTTATGTTTGCTAAAGTGTTTGAGTTTCACTAAAGCTGAAAACTCTGCATTCGAATGAACAATAGGCAAACCAGCAGAGAAATGTTGTTTATACGCATGAGTATCTTTTGGTCATAGTAGTTTCTGTCGACATTCGAATAGCACTTTGAACCTAAGTTTGAAACAATATATAAAATAGGTGTACTTAAAGTCAATGGAACAGACATTCCTTGTATGACACCTTTTCCTGTTATAGGAAACTGTTGGTAGTAAAAACCAGATATAAGTTTTGTATTATAGCTCATATCGTTTATAGTAAACTCAGTCGGACATCCAAACATAATGAAACCTGCTCTAGTTGCAGCACATGTTACATCCGTCCTTAAAGTATTAAATAAGTCAACAAAACCTGTTGGTGGTATATCTGAGTAAGTATCTTCAAAGGAGTTTTTACCATTCACAACAATAAAATCTTCTGGTGTCAAAAGAGCAAAACAGGCTTTAGTCGTCATTGTGTTTAAGGTTAGTTTACAATATCGTCCTTGAGGACTTTGTAAGTTTGTTGTTATAGAATTATATGACTCAGGGTTTTTAGTCGTAATAGTATAAACCACTATGTCTTCTGCCATTTATATATTTAAAAGTTTTTCTGAAAGTGGAGAAGAACTTCATCTAAACTTTCACATGGCGTTTCTTGAAGTTCTCTGTCTAAGAAGTTCAAATATTTTGTAAAGACATAGAACTTTCCTTTGTCTACACGAACAAACAAAACAGGGTCTTTCATATCGTTCAAAAGTGTGTAAAGTCCTTTACATGAAATAAAGTCTATATTTTTTTCTTCAAACATCTTTCAAGAAGTTTTGACATTTTTACTTAGCAATAAATTTTAATGAAATGTTGTGGTCGTCAAATATTTTTATGACGTCTGGGAAACTATATTTTAAGTTCAACGTTTCACCTCCTTTCATAACGTATATCTTGTCAATGACATTATATGAAACACCACAGCAACAATGTCGGGTTCTATTTCTTTGATGTTTATATCGTCTGCCTCTGTCAAAAGTTTCAATAGTTCTTTCAAAACTTCATGAGGTGCAATGACATATGAGTTCACTTTTACAGGGTTGTGTTCGACCAAGTTTAACATTATACCTAAAGCTTGACAAATCTTCTCCTGAGTTTTAAGTTTGTCTTTCAGTTGTTGGTAGTCGTTTCGAATATCTGCAACAGAACTTAAGTCTCTGCTAACTTCAGGATATGTTGGTTGTTCTTTTACAGGAACAATTGTTATACCATCTTCGTCTTCGTATGGTTTCCCCACTTCAACATCTCTTCTTTGACATTGACAACAACACTTTGACTGTTTGTTTGAGTTGGTGAATTTAACTTCACATCTGCCACCGCCATTAAACCTTTTGAAACACTTACGCTTCTATTTTTCGGAAATGACATTTTACTTAGAATAAAAAGATGGACGTATTGAGTATCTCTTCGAATTGAAGCAAACAAAGTTTACACACACAAACAATACAAATACATTGACAGAATAGTTCTTTACACAAACAATGGAAAATGTTATAGAATAGCAGTCTTTGCTGAACCAAAATATTTTCATAAAGCAAAGAAAGTTGGTATAACTGAAATGGTGAAAGTTCTTGAAGCAGACAAAAATATAACAACAAAACTTACGATATTTCTAAAGGTAAGTTTATAATACAATATTATGTCAAAACTGGCGTACTGTCAATATTTGACGGAGAGAAGTCAGTTCAAGAACAACTTACTGACCTGCTGCCAAAATCTGCTCGATGGAAGCTGTCGTTATGCCAATCTGAGGAGCCCCAGCAGGTTTCATCGAACGAATCTTCAAAAGAGCATCTTCCGTGAAAAGTGCTATTGGTTTTGTAAACTTCTTTGCTTTCAATTCATCTGGACCGTCTCTGTCACCAGTATATTGTATTTGAACTGTACCAACAGTTGAAATACCACCCATAAAGTCTTCTGAGTCAGCAAATGGAATGCCAAGCCAAAAGTTTGAACGGTCTCCATTTGTATATTGAGTTTTTTGACCTCCTGTATGAGTCCATACTTTCACATATGGCATAATAGAACTTTGCATTTCAGGGTTAATGGTTGTTGTGAAGTTGTTGTTAAAGTTCATAGCATCTAATGTCAAGTTGTATGACCTCATATCCTCAACTGTAGAATATTCTTCTCTTGGATAATATTTGCCATCTATGTTTATATGATATTTAATACCGGGTTGTAGAAACAAGAATAGTCATTTATAGTTCGTCTGAACAGTACAAACATAGTATCTGCATGTTTCATTGCAGTTGTTAAAGCAATATCTGTTCTTGCACCTGGGTCAGCACTTTGGTTTCCAACTTCACCTGCAAAGTCTTTGACAGATATTTGGTGTATAGGGAACATAAGTGGAACTGCAATATATTTGGCAGCTAAAGCATTTGAAATATCTGGGTCCAACATATAGACTGCAAGTCTGCTTTCTATTCTCTTGCATTCAAATTTTTCGCATGTGAACTTAACTGGGTCCCAAGCAGTTCCAGCAGCATTGAAATAATAGTTTACTTCAGTGTTGAGTTTGAGAAACCAAAGTCTAAGTCAACTTTGTCTTTGCAAAAGTCACAGAACTTGGCTCCACCAGTTCCAGCTACAGTAAAGTGAATGGGTCTTGTGTTGGTGCAATGACTAAGTTATTTTTGCTTGGAGTAAGTTCGATAGAAATTTTTCCTGCCCAGTTTGGCAAGTATCTTAAAAACCTGAAGATGAGGAAAGATGACAAAGGAACTCTAAGTTTCAGTTTTACTTTGGTTACTGCTGCAGCAGTTTCTCCAGAAAGGTTAACATAAACTCCTGGAACGTTAGGGTCAAGTCTTCTTATTTTCTCAATAGTTGCATACTGGTCTGTTTGTTCTCTAGCTTGTGGTTGTACTGAGTTTCTCAAAGCGAACCATTCATAGTTTGCCCATGTTACTGTTTGAACTAAGTCAGAGTTAGAATATATCTTATATCCCATGAAAACTTCTGGAGCATATTGGTATCCGACATAGAAAATTCCATTGCAACCTTTCTTGTCAGACAACTTGGCAGAAGGTTTTATTTCAATGTCTTGTTCCACGTATAAGAATGAGTTGTCAATAGAAATAATATGAAACCTGTCGCAAGCAATATCTACTGTTGTTGAAGAACCTTCTCCAAACTCACCTACGTTTCCATAAGAAACAGCAGTTGTATATTCGTAAGTTCCAGGAACTATTTCTGACCTTCTAATGGCATTGTCGCATTCGTTATACCATTCGGAAACATTTCCATTCATGGCATCCAAAACTGTTGGCGTTATATTCTGAGCGGCGTACATTTCATATGGGTAAAAATATAGAATAGTTGGATTTATATGTCATAATAGAACCCACTCGACCAAGCTTTACTTTCTTCCTGACTGAGTTTTTAACTCTTCTTTTTCCTTCATTGCCACTACTTTCACTAGATGAAGTTACTTCTTCACTACTTTCACTTTGTTCTACTCTTCTTCTTTGGTGTCGCTTTTGGTAACTTGCCCTCTGCTTCAAGTTGTTGCATCTTTGCCTCATGTTCTCCTAGTATGTTGTAAATTTCCCATGTCCTTTTTGCCTTTGGGCTCTGGTCGCCCATCTCAGGTAACCTATATCCTAGAAAGAGTTTGTCATAGTTTGTATTTGAGTCTTCGCGTATTGTTTGCATGACTCTTTCCTGAGTTTCGGTTCAAGCTCTTCAAACAGAGCCTGTCCATATGGAATAAGCTCGTTTCCAAATATATGTTTTTGTAGCCATTCTGGTTTTCTTTCCATGTTACCAACTATATCTTTTGTGAATGGGAAAGCTTTTACCCAATCTTTCAGTCTTGCGTCGTTTATTTCTGTAGTTGGTTTTATTTTGTCAAGGAACATGTTTTTCAATACTAACATTTCATTTGGTACTGTCCATTTGAGTTTTCTTAAATATTCATCCCTTCTCGGTTCATTGTCTGCAAAGTAAGTTTTTATGACATTTTGTAAACTTTCGTTTGCAAGGTCATGTACAATAGGTTCTCTTCCTTCTCTCTCCCTAACTTTCTTTCTAAACTCTTCACCAAATATACCATCTCTATGGTTCTGTGTAGTTCTTTGAGATAAATGTTCTAGAACGTCAGGTGTTATATTTCCATCAGCCATGTTCATTTCATACTGGTCCAAAATATCTGCATCTTTCATATCTTTCAATGGCATTAAAGCCGCGCTGAAAATACCAGCTATATCTGGTTCACCATTGACTTCCATTGCGTCTACAACTTCTTGGAATTGGTTGTAAGTTTATGAACCACCTATCCGGATTAGCTTTATGACCCCATCTCATTGTAGTTCCATCGTCTGCAGAAACAAAAGTAGGTTTGTTTCCATTGGTTAGGTTCTGAATGAACTTTAAACAATGTTTCATTTCTATATGTTTTCTTGAAATTTAACCTTTTATCTTCACCGAGTTCATCCGAAGATTGAACGTTAAATGCTCGTAAGTAAAAAGGGTTGTTGTATTTGTGTACATTTTTTTCAGTACTTCCATTCTATGCTGAATATTTTCATCTGGTGTTGGAGTCTTTTGTATGTCGGCAAACATTTTTCGATATTCTTCTACTATGTCAGCCGAATTTTTTTTAGACTCTTGGAAATATTCCATATTCTCCGCATACTCTTGTTGAGGGTCAAGATTTTTCGGCTGTTCCAAATCTTCATCTAGTTCTGTGAAGTTAGTTTCCAAAGGAGTGACTTGTTCGTTTCCTTCAGGCTCTTCTAGCTGTTGTTGCTGAACTATTTCTTCCATGTCTGGTTGTATCTGAACTTCTTCCTGTGGAGTTTCTTGTACCTCATCTGCTGGCATTTCATATATTCCGAGACCGTTTTCAACAATTTCCCTATCTACGTCATCCGCATTCATAAGCTTTTGTTCTTTCGTTCCGTCTCTATTTTTTACGCGTTTCATGACGAAAGTTGAATTGTCATTTAGCTCTGACATCAAATATCTCGGAGTAAATTCATTCATGTCATTTGGATGATATGCTATTAAATCATATCCCTTAGCGAGCTTGTATTTTCCAGGTTTGAATTATATCCTTTGGTGCTGAGCCATAAAGCTAAATAGGTTCGGGTCAGTATTTCCATCCTTGAACTTTCTAATAGCTTCTTTATATCTGTCACTAAAGTCAATAGTATCTGGGAACCATACTCTTCTTTAAGCATTTTTAAGAATTCTTGGTTTCCTTGTTCTCTACTTCTTTTATGTCCTTGCTCTGTTTGTGGTTGTTGTTGTGCAGGGTTTTGAACTGTTGGTTGCTGTGCTGGTTGTTGTGTTGGTTGTTGTGCTGGTTGTGGAGTGGTTGTTGTGTTGGTTGTTGTGTTGGTTTTGGTGCATGCCTGTGTCTGTGTCCATGTGACGATGTAAATGTTCTAGGTAGTCCTGGTGCAGGTGCTTCTCTTGGAGGGTTTGGTGGTATATAAGTTCCACCAGCTGGCACATATGTTCCATCTGCAGCGTAATGTCCTACCTGACTTTTCGTTCTTAAGAAAGCATTTACTAGGTCTGTTTTGGTCTGTTGTAACTCTTTTTCTTGACTTTTCACAACAGTTGCTCTAACGGCGTCATAGGCACTTTGAACTGCCTGTCTCGTTGCTGCATCTGTTATTTTCGTCATATTTTGTGCTACTTTTTAACTCTTTGTCGAAACCTTCAGACTTCAGTTTCTTTCCAGATGAGAAGTCGTTCACTTGTTTCACCTTACTATGAAGAGCTTCGAAGGCGTTCTTAAAGTCAGCATTGTTAAAGCTTCATTTGAACTGTCTTCATCCGCTTGTATTTTTGTCCTTATTGACCCTATAAGTTGGGCTGCTTTAGCGTTGGCTTGGGCATCTAACCAGTCATTGTTAGCTTTTATATATTCTGCGCTTTTCATTGCCTTTTGCATGGCTGCGTCGTTATTTTTACTTTCTTGTGCTAAGTTTTCATACTGTACGGTTTGGTTTTGCAACTGTAAAAGTTTTTCTGCCTTTACATTTGCTTCAACTTCTTTTTTATACTCATCGCTATCCATATATGTCTTCAGGGCTTTTTGTTTTATTCTTCATCTTTCAGTACTTTATATTGAGTAGTATGGTTTTTCAAATTTATGACATCTTGTTCCATTTTTGCTACTTCTGCTGCTTTTTCTGACACTTTTTTCGCATATTCCTCTGTACTTAGTTCTTTCAGTTGTTCTTCTTTCTTCTTTTTCTCTACGTTTAACTCATTGAGTTTCTTTGTGTGTCTGTCATATTCTAGTTTCTTTTCGTTTTCACTTATTTGCTTCTGTATGTCTATGTTTGACTTTTTGACATCTGTTATTTGATTTTTGAGTGAACTCAAATTCATTTGACTTTGAGGGTTATATAGCTGTTCCGTCTGCAGCTCCACCATAGCCTGCCATTTTCGCTAAAAGTGCCGCTCTTAAACCTCCACTCTGTGCACCAATAACTCGGTTTAAAAGCATAGGGTTGCTTGACATTTGTTGCAACATAGTGGGGTCATTCAGCATTTGTTGTTGCAACTGTTGTTGTGGTGTCAGTTTTACTATTGGATGTTTCAATGCTCTCTTCCTCTTACGTATATTCTTACGTAGCTTACGTGGCATTTTAAGTGAAGTTAAAAAGCGGTTTTTGACAGATGTTTATATGACACTTTTTGGTCAGCACAAAAAACTACTCGGTCAAAGTGTTGTCAGTTTTGTAAAATAACCGTCCTATCTCATTCTATAAGGGGAAAGTCTTCTCAAAGTATACTTCCTTGGAACGCCCGTAACTTTTCCTGTAGCGACGATAGACCCTTACTTGTCCGGACAAAGTTATACTATTTTGAGTGCTCTACAAAAAAGTCAACGGAGACGACTCTCAAAACCGTTGTGTAAAAAGTTTTACCGTTGGACAAAAAAGTATGTATAGAAAACAAAAAACGTTTATAGTTCATTCAATATTTGAGATGGAACGGTTTGCCAACGGAGACTTTTCAATAAAATAAAAAAATAGAGGGGGTTACCGTTGACGAAAACGGTTTATTTTAAACTTTTCTATGAGTAGTCCGAAAAAAACAGTTTATTTTTGTCTAATGGAAGGAAGAAAAAGTGTCGCAAACAATTCGTCGACTACCTCTGCAGTTAAAGTTCCTACAACTTATGTCTCACCATTCTCAAAACCCTTACGACCTCCTATAATACCAAAGCAACTTCCTCATACAATTGCAAACAATTCGTCGACTACCTCTGCAGTTAAAGTTCCTACAACTTATGTCTCACCATTCTCAAAACCCTTACGACCTCCTATAATACCAAAGCAACTTCCTCATACAATTGCAAACAAATTGTCCAACAATTTGAGTTTTCTTCTCAAAACACAACAGATACAGCTCAGCCAACAGGTCAAGCAACAACAACTATCGGAACAGAAGCATTTTCAGAAGAAGTTCATACCAATCAGACTCCAATCGAACATACAGAAACACAACCACCCGAAAATACAGAAACACATCCAATCGAACATACAGAAACACATTCTGCAATGACCACTAGGTCGCAAACACGATATCTCGCCTTTTGCAAACAATTTAAGTCTCAAATTCAAGACACACAAGATAGCGACACTCCTCTTTCAGAGAAAGTTCGTAGAAAATACGCAAAGCAAAGGTTAGAATTGTTAGATAAGTTAAATGAACAGTGGGGTTCAGAAGACAATCGAGATTATAACGAGATGTTTCAAGCTGTCATGGATGCCATTCAGCCTCTTGAAAACGAAATCAAAGACCCTGGCGTACTTGTTGACATGTTTGCTTCATATTTACCCGTTACTGCCAATCTCATAGCGTTGCAAGCTATTGACCAGTTCATTCACTTGTTTCCAAAGAACTTGCAGAAGCATTTACAAGAAGTTAAAGTTGCTGAATTTGTCCGTTTATATCCAAATTCATACAATTATTTGGAAGAATTGAATGAACATGGTGAAAGGTCATTCTATTTATATTTCTACACAAAAGACAACCAGTCAAAACGACTATACTGCATTGAACCTATGCCTCAATTCGTAGACAATTTCCACGTTATAACAACTGTTGCTTTAGATATTCCTGCCAGAGTTCCATATGGAGGAACAGTAACTATCTCAAGCTTTCCCAAGGGCTATAAAGGAAAGCCTCTCACAATTGCAAAATTCACACACAGCAGTTGCCAATTTGTTCAAGATGTCGAGTTCCATTTCCTCAACAATACGACTTTCATCATAGAGACTCCTCAAGAAGGTATATACAAAGTTTTCATTGCAGGATTTGTTGATCCCAATGGCGAAGAAGAAGAAGTCGAAGAAATCCTCACCTCAGAGAGCGAAGAAGAAGAAAATTTCCAAGACATTCAAGATTCAGAATATACCGAATAAAAAAACAATTTAAGACTAAAAATTTAATTTTATTATAATATTTTTATTTTTTTCATCTGGTCTTTGTCTCATTCCTCCTCTAGTTTCTTAGGGGCTAGAAGGGGCGCAGCCCCTGGAAGCCCCAGTTCCTTTTTTTTTTTTTTTTTTTTTGACTACAGTGAAATATAAAGCCAGTTTACGAAAGCGGTTTCTGTCAATGAGTGAAAATAGTGAACTTTCTGAGGCTCTCAAGATTGTTGAGAAAATACCGCAAAGGCCATTTGCTCAGCTTCTTAGACGCCTTGCAATTGCATTAAAAGAACGTGATAATATTCCATTTTCTGAGGATGAAGTTCAAATTCTTCTTGAGCAATTCAAATTAACACCAACAGAACTCGAATCATTCTTTTCTGCATGTCAATATGTTTTACAGCAAGCAGCCTGCTATTCATTCAACTCCGAAAAAACACAAATGTACGCTTCACAATGCGGTGTTCCAGATGAAATTGCCGAATGTTTCTCTGCAGTTTGGGATGCTGAAGGAGAAGATCTAATTAATGCCTTAAAGAGCAGAACTTTGACAGATGACGTACTTAACAGCACTTCATGGCGTCTTAATCTTAAGGCCGCTGAAAACGGAAAGGCTCCGACAAAACAGCCAATAATGCTTCTTGATTTGAATGTTACTGGAAAGAAGCCAATTACAATTCAATTTAATCACGAAGAACTCTCTAAGTTCTATGATCAAATTGAACAAATTCAACAGCAGGTTGATCACCTTACTTAAAAGCAGTATAAACTTTCTTTATTAATTTGGTATATTAAAATTAAGTATCTTTATTTGAAATTTATCTTGTTTCCCTTAATTCTTAGTGGGCTTTCGAATAATGTGTAGTGTTGGTTTATCATAATGCGTAAAAATCAAAAGTATGTCAGATCCAATTAATTTGAGCAGATAATGATAATTTAATAGTTTGATTTTTGTTAAATTTTTGTATCGATGAGAAACTTACCTTTATGGGCTTTTATTTTGATATAGAAGAGAAATTTTCAAAATATCCAGGTGAAAATTTGTTGTATAGTTAGTATTTTTCCGAAATGCATCATTTCATAGCAAGTTGTTATGTTCCAAAACCTTAAAATAGATGCCATAATCAAAGATATAAAAATGAAATCAAAAAGAAGATTGTAATGTAATTAATATGATAAATTATTAACGATTAAACAGTAAATTTTACAGAATAAAATTAATTCGCTTAAAACAATTATTCGATATCGAGTTTGGTTGAGAAATTCAAATTTGCCGGTGGAGCTGGGATATTTGGCATTGAATCAGGGAATGGCTTCTCTGCATACTTTTTTGCCTTTGCGAAAATCTCTATTTTTTGCTTTGATGTCTCTGTTTCCGGTTCGAGATTTTTATGAGACCTAATTCCATCGTACCAAAGCTCCATTGAATCTTTCTGACCTTGTAAGATAAGAGGCTTATCTCCCTTAATCGTTATATTAATATATTTGATCTGCCCGCCTTCATCTTTTGCGCTGTCCATCTTAAGTGATTCGAAAGTCGCTACTTTGAGTACCTGTGCTTCGTTTTTATTATCTGGAGCAATTACAATAGCTTTCTGTTTGTCATCAAAATGAATTTGATTTGGAGTCAATCCGTCAAGAGCTGACGCCTTAGAAAATTTGTTGCGAAGTACTATGAAATCGCACTGCTTAGTTATGTATGACTGAACATACTTTTTAAATAATTCCTGTGGAGTTGCCAGCTCAACTTGCTCCATTCAATATTTGTCACTTTTTAAACAATCAAATTTCTTATAATTTTTTTTAGAATGACTCAACGGAAAAAAGCTGAAAAATCTATCTATATTAAACCAACTCACTAAAAAGGGAAAGAAATAGAGTTTTAGAATACAAATATTTATTTACAAACAAAGAAAGAAAAAATTGAAATTGATTTCATGAATTTGATTCGGATTTTTGATACTTCTCAAAGTACTTCACTCCATCTAAGAGATTTTCCATTACTTTATCATCCTTTGAGCAATACTCAACATATATTCCGCATTCTTTTCCACTAACAACAGTTTGCGAAACTTTATTTAAAAATATAGATTCGTTAATAACATCTTCCTCTATTAATTTGCATTTCTGACATAATGTTTTTAATGGACAATCATTTTGAAGTGCGCAATTTATTGCTATGACAGCAGTAGCTGTGACTGGTAGTTCGTTGAATCTGAATGATAGTAATGAAACATCATAATAAAATTGAACGAAGCGTAGCTTATGAGTGAAGTTTATTTCGTCGAGGAGTATTTTAATTATGTTGAAAGCTGTTTGAAATTCGACCTGTCCTCCAAAAAAGCTAACAATTTCTATCTCTTTCTTTTCAAAATCAATCGGTTGAAAAGCATTTTGGCACACAGCGGCATACAATGCCAATTTATGATGGCGATGTCGTTCATCCATCTTGTTTTGTATCCACAAGCATGTAATTGCTGTTAATTGAACGTCATCTTTTGGCACTGTATACGATGTCAATACTTTATCTAATAATGATATTGAACTGTATAAAACTTCGGATGGTAATGATATTTTCTTTGCAACTCTATACATCCATTCAACTACGATTTGTCGATTATGAAAAGTTAAATCAGGTTGAAATTTCTTGAAATCATCAGCCGACATTATGGTATTCGGTGCTTTTTTAATCTCCAGTTCACCAATTGATTCCATTCCTTTTTGGACAAAATGTGCTGGAGATTCTACATAAATTTGTTCGTTATCATCAATTTCTATTGTTGCGTCATCTGAATATTCACATGTAGAATTACCATTGCTTGTTGATGCTACACTTGGCCCAGATCCAGATGGATTCGTTCCATCCTTGCTCATCACACAAAAAATGGCGCCAAAATTCAATGTAAATATTTAATTCTGAATATTTATTAAATAATTAATTTATGATGTGAGTAAATAAAACTAGTTTGGGGTGTTCTCAAATTACTGTCGATATCGATTCAATTTTCTATCGGTATGTCAAAAATCAAGATGACTCCATCCTCAGCGAATATAAATTTAATAAATAGCATCTTTAGTTGTGATCCACCAGCGTCGAGTGTTAGTAGAGATAATATGAGTTCATCACTGAGAAATAATATAAAAACCTTTAATATATCTTTTTTAATATAATTATTAAGCATATTCTTGTTGTTTGTTCTGTTTACGGATGCAGACTTGGCAATTCTTAAAAAATTTCCGGCGAAATTGGCGCTCTTCGGAGCTGTATTCCCTACTTTATCTTTTTCATTGATATTTACACCGTGTAAAATAAGACGCTTGGCAATTTCTATACTATTTATTTTTGCTGCCTCATGAAGAGCGGTTTTCCCAGATTTATCCTTTTCATTGATATTTGCATCATGTAAAATAAGAAACTCGGTTATTTCTTTCTTATCCAATATTGCTTCAATTTGAAGAGCAGTTTTTCCAGATTTATCCTTTTCATTGATATTAGCATCATTTGATAACGAAAGCAATTGTTGATATCCTTAGTTTGATCGAAATATACAAAAAATGATTCCGGATTGATATATCATATGCATTAATCTAAATTAATCTTAATATTGTATTCATTCATCAAATATGTAACAAAATCAATGAAATGCTTCACCAATACATCCTTTCCATTAGAAATGCTGAATTGAATCCAAAATATCGAGTTATCACTCAATAATCTAATTTATAAACTGAAAGTCTCTTGAATGATCATTGAAGTCTATATGATAATGCGAGTGAAAACATTTACAATTGCTTTTTTGCAATTCCAATAAAGGATTGATATCAAAGATTTTATTTTCCTATTAATGGTATTGTGGAAAAAAAAAAAAAAGGCAGTGGGGCTTCCAGGCGCGTTGCGCCCTCTAGCCCCGAAGATGTTGAGTATAAATGAAGTTTTTATTCGATAAGAACGACATCGCTATCGTTTTCTTCTTCCTCCTCTTCTTCTTCATAGTCAGTATCTGATGGCTCTTTGTCAGCCACATGACCAGCAACAAATATTGAGACAAATTGTTTCTTTGGTTTTGTTAGCAGGAACTTTTGATGGTCGTAGAACACGAATTCTACATTTTGAAAATGTTGTGCTGAGTATTCTGTGAAATGGGAAATTGGAATTGGTTCTCCCATGCCAAAACCAGCAATGGACGCGAACAAAACATCGTCTTCGACTCTTGCAGGTTTGTCAATTGCAACAGTAGTTATGATGTGAGGTTTTCCTTCACATCCTGCAAGAGATTGTACATGATAGATTGCTTTTTCTTCTCCCAGGAACTGAAAGTGTGAAATGGAATGAGAGTTCTCCATATTCATTTGCTTCTTCGTAATAGTTGTATGTTGTAGGATACACCAATTGAAATTTTCCTATTCTTGTTTCCCTGAGGTGTTGTCTATATTGCTTGGGAAAACATAAAATAAATTGCTCTATAGCTTGTGCTGCTATTAGATTGGTTGTAACTGGTAATTTTGAGGCGAAAAGGTCTACAAGAACACCGGGATTTTTTATGTCGTTTTCAATTGGTTTAACAGATTCTATGACTTTGTTAAACATTTCACTATAATCTGAGTTGTCTTCGACCCCCCAATTGTTAAGAAGTTTATACAACAATTTCAGTCTTTTCATGGCGTATTTTCTTTGAATGGATTCGGGTAGCGAGAGGTTACAGTCGTCGGTTTGTGTTTCGTTACTCGAATATTGTTCAAGAGAAATTAAATCTTGAAATTGTGCTCTTGTTAACATACTTGTAGAACTATGTGAAACTTGTTCTGGTGCTGGTTGTAAATCTGTTTCAGATGTTTCTGTTGTGTTTTGAGAAGAAGAAGAACTCAAATTGTTGGACAATTTGTCTTGAATTGTAGAACTATGTGAAACTTGTTCTGGTGCTGGTTGTAAATCTGTTTCAGATGTTTCTGTTGTGTTTTGAGAAGAAGAAGAACTCAAATTGTTGGACAATTTGTCTTGAATTGTAGAACTATGTGAAACTTGTTCTGGTGCTGTTTGGACAACTGTATCTGTTGTGTTTTGAGAAGAAGAACTCAAATTGTTGGACAATTTGTCTTGAATTGTAGAACTATGTGAAACTTGTTCTGGTGCTGTTTGGACAACTGTATCTGTTGTGTTTTGAGAAGAAGAACTCAAATTGTTGGACAAATTGTCTTGAATTGTATGAGGAACTTGCTTTGGTATTATAGGAGGTCGTAAGGGTTTTGAGAATGGTGAGACATAAGTTGTAGGAACTTTAACTGCAGAGGTAGTTGACGAATTGTTTGCGACACTTGTTGTTCCTTCCATTAGACAAAAATGAACTGTTTTTTTCGGACTACTCATAGAAAAGTTTAAAATAAACCGTTTTCGTCAACGGTAACCCCCTCTATTTTTTTATTTTATTGAAAAGTCTCCGTTGGCAAACCGTTCCATCTCAAATATTGAATGAACTATAAACGTTTTTTGTTTTCTATACATACTTTTTTGTCCAACGGTAAAACTTTTTACACAACGGTTTTGAGAGTCGTCTCCGTTGACTTTTTTGTAGAGCACTCAAAATAGTATAACTTTGTCCGGACAAGTAAGGGTCTATCGTCGCTACAGGAAAAGTTACGGGCGTTCCAAGGAAGTATACTTTGAGAAGACTTTCCCCCTTATAGAATGAGATAGGACGGTTATTTTACAAAACTGACAACACTTTGACCGAGTAGTTTTTTGTGCTGACCAAAAAGTGTCATATAAACATCTGTCAAAAACCGCTTTTTAACTTCACTTAAAATGCCACGTAAGCTACGTAAGAATATACGTAAGAGGAAGAGAGCATTGAAACATCCAATAGTAAAACTGACACCACAACAACAGTTGCAACAACAAATGCTGAATGACCCCACTATGTTGCAACAAATGTCAAGCAATCCTATGCTTTTAAACCGAGTCATTGGTGCACAGAGTGGAGGTTTAAGAGCGGCACTTTTAGCGAAAATGGCAGGCTATGGTGGAGCTGCAGACGGAACAGCCTATAACCCTCAAAGTCAAATGAATTTGAGTTCACTCAAAAATCAAATAGCAGATGTCAAAAAGTCAAACATAGACATACAGAAGCAAATAAGTGAAAACGAAAAGAAACTAGAATATGACAGACACACAAAGAAACTCAATGAGTTAAACGTAGAGAAAAAGAAGAAAGAAGAACAACTGAAAGAACTAAGTACAGAGGAATATGCGAAAAAAGTGTCAGAAAAAGCAGCAGAAGTAGCAAAAATGGAACAAGATGTCATAAATTTGAAAAACCATACTACTCGATATAAAGTACTGAAAGATGAAGAGATAAAACAAAAAGCCCTGAAGACATATATGGATAGCGATGAGTATAAAAAAGAAGTTGAAGCAACTGTAAAGGCAGAAAAACTTTTACAGTTGCAAAACCAAACCGTACAGTATGAAAACTTAGCACAAGAAAGTAAAAATAACGACGCAGCCATGCAAAAGGCAATGAAAAGCGCAGAATATATAAAAGCTAACAATGACTGGTTAGATGCCCAAGCCAACGCTAAAGCAGCCCAACTCATAGGGTCAATAAGGACAAAAATACAAGCGGATGAAGACAGTTCAAATGAAGCTTTAACAAATGCTGACTTTAAGAACGCCTTCGAAGCTCTTCATAGTAAGGTGAAACAAGTGAACGACTTCTCATCTGGAAAGAAACTGAAGTCTGAAGGTTTCGACAAAGAGTTAAAAGAAGTAGCACAAAATATGACGAAAATAACAGATGCAGCAACGAGACAGGCAGTTCAAAATGCCTATGACGCCGTTAGAGCAACTGTTGTGAAAAGTCAAGAAAAAGAGTTACAACAGACCAAAACAGACCTAGTAAATGCTTTCTTAAGAACGAAAAGTCAGGTAGGACATTACGCTGCAGATGGAACATATGTGCCAGCTGGTGGAACTTATATACCAGCTGGTGGAACTTATATACCAGCTGGTGGAACTTATATACCACCAAACCCTCCAAGAGAAGCACCTGCACCAGGACTACCTAAAACATTTACATCGTCACATGGACACAGACACAGGCATGCACCAAAACCAACACAACAACCAACAGTTCAAAACCCTGCACAACAACCAACAGTTCAAAACCCTGCACAACAACCACCTCCACAACCAGAGCAAGGACATAAAAGAAGTAGAGAACAAGGAAACCAAGAATTCTTAAAAATGCTTAAAGAAGACTATGGTTACCCAGATACTATTGACTTTAGTGACAGATATAAAGAAGCTATTAGAAAGTTCAAGGATGGAAATACTGACCCGAACCTATTTAGCTTTATGGCTCTGCACCAAAGGGGATATAATCTCAAACCTGGAAAATACAAGCTCGCTAAGGGATATGATTTAATAGCATATCATCCAAATGACATGAACGAATTTACTCCGAGATATTTGATGTCAGAGCTAAATGACAATTTAACTCTCTTCATGAAACGCGTAAAAAATAGAGACGGAACGAAAGAAGAAAGGTTTATGAGTCCGGATGACTTAGAAAGGGAACTTTTTAAAAACGGTCTCGGAATATATGAAATGCCAGCAGATGAGGTACAAGAAACTCCACAGGAAGAACTAGTTCAGATACAACCAGACATGGAAGAAATAGTTCAGCAACAACAGCTAGAAGAGCCTGAAGGAAACGAACAAGTCACTCCTTTGGAAACTAACTTCACAGAACTAGATGAAGATTTGGAACAGCCGAAAAATCTTGACCCTCAACAAGAGTATGCGGAGAATATGGAATATTTCCAAGAGTCTAAAAAAAATTCGGCTGACATAGTAGAAGAATATCGAAAAATGTTTGCCGACATACAAAAGACTCCAACACCAGATGAAAATATTCAGCATAGAATGGAAGCACTGAAAGAAAATGTACACAAATACAACAACCCTTTTTACTTACGAGCATTTAACGTTCAATCTTCGGATGAACTCGGTGAAAATAAAAGGTTAAATTTCAAGAAAACATATAGAAATGAAACATTGTTTAAAGTTCATTCAGAACCTAACCAAGATGGAAACAAACCTACTTTTGTTTCTGCAGACGATGGAACTACAATGAGATGGGGTCATAAAGCTAACCCGGATAGGTGGTTCATAAACTTACAACCTCAATTCCAAGAAGTTGTAGACGCAATGGAAGTGAATGGTGAACGAGATATAGCTGGTATTTTAAGCGCGGCTTTAATGCCATTGAAAGATATGAAACATGCAGATATTTTGGACCAGTATGAAATGAACATGGCTGATGGAAATATAACACCTGACGTTCTAGAACATTTATCTCAAAGAACTACACAGAACCATAGAGATGGTATATTTGGTGAAGAGTTTAGAAAGAGAGTTAGGGAGAGAGAAGGAAGAGAACCTATTGTACATGACCTTGCAAATGAAAGTTTACAAAATGTCATAAAAACTTACTTTGCAGACGATGAACTGAGAAGGGATGAATATTTAAGAAAACTCAAATGGACAGTACCAAATGAAATGTTAGTATTGAAAAACATGTTCCTTGACAAAATAAAACCAACTACAGAAATAAACGACGCAAGACTGAAAGATTGGGTAAAAGCTTTCCCATTCACAAAAGATATTGTTGGTAACATGGAAAGAAAACCAGAATGGCTACAAAAACATATATTTGGAAACGAGCATATTCCATATGGACAAGCTCTGTTTGAAGAGCTTGAACCGGAAACTCAGAAAAGAGTCATGCAAACAATACGCGAAGACTCAAATACAAACTATGACAAACTCTTTCTAGGATATTGGTTACCTGAGATGGGCGACCAGAGCCCAAAGGCAAAAAGGACATGGGAAATTTACAACATACTAGGTGAACATGAGGCAAAGATGCAACAACTTGAAGCAGAGGGCAAGTTACCAAAGCGACACCAAAGAAGAAGAGTAGAACAAAGTGAAAGTAGTGAAGAAGTAACTTCATCTAGTGAAAGTAGTGGCAATGAAGGAAAAAGAAGAGTTAAAAACTCAGTCAGGAAGAAAGTAAAGCTTGGTCCACGTGGGTTCTATTATGACATATAAATCCAACTATTCTATATTTTTACCCATATGAAATGTACGCCGCTCAGAATATAACGCCAACAGTTTTGGATGCCATGAATGGAAATGTTTCCGAATGGTATAACGAATGCGACAATGCCATTAGAAGGTCAGAAATAGTTCCTGGAACTTACGAATATACAACTGCTGTTTCTTATGGAAACGTAGGTGAGTTTGGAGAAGGTTCTTCAACAACAGTAGATATTGCTTGCGACAGGTTTCATATAATTTCTATTGACAACTCTTTCTTATACGTGGAACAAGACATTGAAATAAAACCTTCTGCCAAGTTGTCTGACAAGAAAGGTTGCAATGGAATTTTCTATGTCGGATACCAATATGCTCCAGAAGTTTTCATGGGATATAAGATATATTCTAACTCTGACTTAGTTCAAACAGTAACATGGGCAAACTATGAATGGTTCGCTTTGAGAAACTCAGTACAACCACAAGCTAGAGAACAAACAGACCAGTATGCAACTATTGAGAAAATAAGAAGACTTGACCCTAACGTTCCAGGAGTTTATGTTAACCTTTCTGGACAAACTGCAGCAGCAGTAACCAAAGTAAAATTGAAACTTAGAGTTCCTTTGTCATCTTTCCTCATCTTCAGGTTTTTAAGATACTTGCCAAACTGGGCAGGAAAAATTTCTATCGAACTTACTCCAAGCAAAAATAACTTAGTCATTGCACCAACACAAGACCCATTCACTCTTACAGACGTAAAGGGAGCAAATCAAACGTCATTCGCCGATTTTGCAAAGACAAAGTTGACTTAGACTTTGGTTTCTCAAACCTCAACACTGAAGTAAACTACTACTTCAATGCTGCTGGAACTGCTTGGGACCCAGTTAAGTTCACATGCGAAAATTTGAATGCAAGAGAATAGAAAGCAGACTTGCAGTCTATATGTTGGACCCAGATATTTCAAATGCTTTAGCTGCCAAATATATTGCAGTTCCACTTATGTTCCCTATACACCAAATATCTGTCAAAGACTTTGCAGGTGAAGTTGGAAACCAAAGTGCTGACCCAGGTGCAAGAACAGATATTGCTTTAACAACTGCAATGAAACATGCAGATACTATGTTTGTACTGTTCAGACGAACTATAAATGACTATTCTTGTTTCTACAACCCCGGTATTAAATATCATATAAACATAGATGGCAAATATTATCCAAGAGAAGAATATTCTACAGTTGAGGATATGAGGTCATACAACTTGACATTAGATGCTATGAACTTTAACAACAACTTCACAACAACCATTAACCCTGAAATGCAAAGTTCTATTATGCCATATGTGAAAGTATGGACTCATACAGGAGGTCAAAAAACTCAATATACAAATGGAGACCGTTCAAACTTTTGGCTTGGCATTCCATTTGCTGACTCAGAAGACTTTATGGGTGGTATTTCAACTGTTGGTACAGTTCAAATACAATATACTGGTGACAGAGACGGTCCAGATGAATTGAAAGCAAAGAAGTTTACAAAACCAATAGCACTTTTCACGGAAGATGCTCTTTTGAAGATTCGTTCGATGAAACCTGCTGGGGCTCCTCAGATTGGCATAACGACAGCTTCCATCGAGCAGATTTTGGCAGCAGGTCAGTAAGTTGTTCTTGAACTGACTTCTCTCCGTCAAATATTGACAGTACGCCAGTTTTGATAATATTGTATTATAAACTTCCTTTAGAAATATCGGTCAGTTTTGTTGTTATATTTTTGTCTGCTTCAAGAACTTTCACCATTTCAGTTATACCAACTTTCTTTGCTTTATGAAAATATTTTGGTTCAGCAAAGACTGCTATTCTATAACATTTTCCATTGTTTGTATAAAGAACTATTCTGTCAATGAACTTGTATTGTTTGTGTGTGTAAACTTTGTTTTGCTTCAATTCGAAGAGATACTCAAATACGTCCATCTTTTTATTCTAAGTAAAATGTCATTTCCGAAAAATAGAAGCGTAAGTGTTTCAAAAGGTTTAATGGCGGTGGCAGATGTGAAGTTAAATTCACCAACTCAAACAAACAGTCAAAGTGTTGTTGTCAATGTCAAAGACAGAGATGTTGAAGTGGGAAACCATACGAAGACGAAGATGGTATAACAATAGTTCCTGTAAAAGAACAACCAACATACCCTGAAGTTAGCAGAGACTTAAGTTCTGTTGCAGATATTCGAAACGACTACCAACAACTTAAAGACAAACTTAAAACTCAGGAGAAGATTTGTCAAGCTTTAGGTATAATGTTAAACTTGGTCGAGCACAACCCTGTAAAAGTGAACTCATATGTCATCGCACCTCATGAAAGTTTTGAAAGAACTATTGAAACTTTTGACAGAGGCAGACGATATAAACATCAAAGAAATAGAACCCGACATTGCTTGCTGTGGTGTTTCATATAATGTCATTGACAAGATATACGTTATGAAAGGAGGTGAAACGTTGAACTTAAAATATAGTTTCCCAGACGTCATAAAAATATTTGACGACCACAACATTTCATTAAAATTTTTGCTAAGTAAATGGCAGAAGACATAGTGGTTTATACTATTACGACTAAAAACCCTGAGTCATATAATTCTATAACAACAAACTTACAAAGTCCTCAAGGACGATATTGTAAACTGACCTTAAACACGATGACGACTAAAGCCTGTTTTGCTCTTTTGACACCAGAAGACTTTGTTGTTGTGAATGGTAAAAAATACTCCTTTGAAGATACTTACTCAGATATACCACCAACAGGTTTTGTTGACTTATTTAATACTTTAAGGACGGATGTAACATGTGCTGCAACTAGAGCAGGTTTCATTATGTTTGGATGTCCGACTGAGTTTACTATAAACGATATGAGCTATAATACAAAACTTATATCTGGTTTTTACTACCAACATTTCCTATAACAGGAAAAGGTGTCATACAAGGAATGTCTGTTCCATTGACTTTAAGTACACCTATTTTATATATTGTTTCAAACTTAGGTTCAAAGTGCTATTCGAATGTGACAGAAACTACTATGACCAAAAGATACTCATGCGTATAAACAACACTTTCTCTGCTGGTTTGCCTATTGTTCATTCGAATGCAGAGTTTTCAGCTTTAGTAAACTCAAACACTTTAGCAAACATAAACTTAACCTTAGTTGACGCAAACTTTGTTCCTGTAAAACTTTTATGTCCTATGTATTTGTCAATGACGGCAGAAAGTTTCGAATTGGAAGATGCAACTGGTGAAAGTATTGTACTACAAGAACAACTTCAACAACAAATAGCTCAAGAACAACAATAACAAATGCAACAAATGGAACAAATGCAAGTCAAACAAATAGCTCAAGAATAAAAAAAATATTTTTTTTTATTTTTATATAAAAAATGTACAGAATAGACGTTTCAGATTTTTATGACTTCCAAGCTTCAGAAATATGTGTCCATTTCGAGACTATAACAAAGCAGTCGAGAATTTGAAACGTTTAGTCATTTATGTCGACTCTGCCCCAGAATGTTATGTCATGAAAGAATGGGATGTTGTCTTTAACAAACCTAAAGCGACAATAGTTTCAGAACAAGAATGTAAACAGAAACTTAAGAAAATAAAAGTCGTACAAGTTGGTATGAAGATGTTAGATGCTTGGGATATCTTATTGTCAAAAGTTGAAGATTTTTCAGTTCGTGGTATAAAGTTCTATACACCTTCTCCAAACTTCTATTCTATCTTCACTGGATATAAATACGAACAAGTAGAATGGAAAGAAAATGTTATAGAAGCTTGGTTAGACCATGTCAAAGAAATTATATGCAATGGAAACGAAAGAGTCTATGAGTATATCTTATGTTGGTTTGCAAACATCTTACAACATCCAAGTGCTAAAAATGAAACTGCTCTCATTGTAATTGGAAAACAAGGAACTGGTAAGAACACTTTCTTTACAGATATTTATGCAAACTGTTAGAGGGCTATTCGAACCCGAATATGACAAACTTAGAAAACATCTGCGGTAAATTTAACTCTTCAATAGAGAATATGAAACTTATAGTATGTAACGAACTTCAAAGTATAGATACAACAAAAGTTTTAAACTCAGATGCTTTGAAGAGTCTTATAACAGACAAAGTTGGAGTTGTTGAAAGAAATATAGAGACCAAAGAGTTTGTGAAAATGTTGCAAATTTCATCATGGTTTCAAACAACGCCGTTCCGATGAAGTTAGAAAGTTCTGACAGAAGATATGTAGTTGTCAGAACGTCAGATTCTCATATGCAAGATACAGAATATTTTGACGACTTAGCAGAAACTTTGACATCTGACTTTTACAACCACTTGTTCTCATATTTCATGACATTAGATATTTCAAAGTTCAATCCAAGACAAATTCCACATACCGAAGAGAGACAAACATTGTTAGAAGCAAACAAGAGTGTATATGAACTGTTCATAGATGAAACTGACTTTGAGTGTTTAGATGAAAGGTCATTGTACGATTCGTATAAACAGTATTGTCAAGAGTATGGTTATATGACAGCGTCTAAACGAACATTCTTGGCAAATGTCAAAAGTCTTTTAGACGTACAGAATGGTGTATATACAAAGAAAAATTTTTCTGAGTAAATTTTAAAAAAAATATTTTTTTATCCGATAGAAAAGATGACAAAATTCATCTCAGTCAACAAGTACATGTCAGGACTTAAAGAAGAACTAGACCCATTCACATATTTGAATGTTTACTTCTACCATTTTGAAAAGTCTACATTTGACAAAGTTTGGAACATCGAACCAGTTAAGTTTGCTATTGTGACTAAAAATGGTGCGAAATTTGAAGACTTAGACATAGAAGGTTTGTTAACAGTCAAAGAAAGTTTTGACAGAAGGTTCTCAAACCTTAAAGAAGGCAAAGCATACAAACTTGTTATACCTTATGAACCAAAGAAAGCAGACGACTATGAATATTATGAGTCTAAGATAGTTGAAGTTCAAGGTAAATTGGGTAAAAAGATTTTAGAGTCTAAGCCAGTGTTTGCTCCTAAAGAGGAAGAGAACATTGACATTGACCCAGAAATGTTCTAAAAATAAAATTTTATTTTTACATGTCAAATTTCTTTTCTCTGGCTCTGGTTCTTTCTTCTCTTCTTCTACTTTCTTTTCTTTCTTTTCTCTCTTCTTCTTCTCTGGTGGAGTTATGTCAAACTTCTCAGAACCATATTTTTGTAAAAGTGCTTTGTCATTTAATAGCTCTTCTATTCTGTTTTCTATTTCATTTTCAAGAACAGCGCATGTGTCTTCTTTGCATTCTAAGAAGTTTTGTTGGACTTCATCTCTCCAAGAGCGTCATCTCTGTCAACAAGTCTGTCATTGACAAATTTTAAGACTTCTCTGCTTAAGGTTTTATGGTTCTTGTCATATTCCCAGAAACAGAACTTTAGAACAAATTCACCTTTCTTGTTTACACTATGTAAGATTTTATGGTCGACAGATGTTTTGCTGTCGAAAAGCTTGTCTCGAATATAGATAGCGAAATCGCTAGACATTTCTAAAAGATAAAAATTTTAATTTTTCTAAAAATATGTTAGAAAAAAAGTTTGCTGACATTGACAAGAAATTTGAGAATGT